AATCGGGACATGCGAACGTACTTTTTTTTAAATGACTACTTGCGAACAAGTGCGAACATAAGGGGGGGAGGGGGTCTAAATTTTATAAAAAGTGCGCACGTACTTTGAGAACGACCCCTAATGAATATTGTTATTTGCTTATTTGATTATTTTATAACTTTCAATTAGTCTGTATTTATTTAATAGTAATTGTCTAATATATAAAATATGACATTTTAGTATGTTATAGAATATTTATCTAAACTAGTTCGATTATATTTAATAACAATTAAAATTAATTGGTATTTAACCTGAATATTATTAAGCATTTTGGAACGTTTTTAAAATTAAAGTATGTAATACTTGTGATAAACAATTTCATTTGGTATTATGTAATTGTAATAAAACATTGCATAAAACAAGTATAAAAATGGATTTATTGAAAACTACAGAAGTATTGCCGGAATCGTTGGCCATCGAGAAAGCGGGCACTCATTTCTATAGCACTGGTCTCTCATTATATAAGCCATACGTTAATGCAAATAGAAATACCATTAGAAACCCAGTGCTTGTATTTATAACATCTCTACTATTTATTATAAGACAGATTATTTTAATCATTTTACCGGAACAGCCAGAAAAATTCTACGATTACGTTGGCGACCCTACTCATTTTACTGGTTTAATTGGTAGTATTTTGGCTATAAATACATATACGCTATCATTATTGTCACAAATACTCAATTATTATAACTATAAGACTGGCGTAAAAGCCGTTGATTTGCGTGTATTTCAAATGCTTTGCGGTTTAATAACACCCTTAAGTGTTGGCATTCATGACATACGTCTCGTCAGAAAATTACTTTCATTTTCACGTAAATCCATATTAATTGGCGAAACAAGCGATAAGTTAATGTGCCCAGTTGTGTTTTTTATTTCATTTACCGTGTTTGCCATTAAGCAAACATACTATGAGATGATATACCTGGCGTTACCACATAGTATTCTATGGGGTATCGCTTCTACCTATGTTTGTACAATAATTATATGGCAATTAATTTACTACTTTATTATCACGTATTATTTGTTATTGAAATACATGTCAATTAATCAAATGATTGTTGATTTTAAGCCAAACATCACTTATGTAAAAACGCGAAATATAATGCATTTATTAAATAAATTATTTGTAGAAATCAATAATTACAATAATATTTATTGGTCAACATTTTTGGCTATTTATTGGGTATTAATTAGTGGCGTTTGCAGTACTATTGTATACGTTATGTTTTTTGGCGACACATTAATATACGCCCGATTAGGCGTTGGTTTGGTTGGCATACAATTCCTATTGACTCTGTTATTTGTAATACACTTTTCGGCACTCCTTTACAATCAGTCGGATATCGCATACCATTCGTTGAATTCGTCGCTTATTAAACACCGAAGGAGTAGATCATCAAAAATAAAGGTTTACCTAAAATCAAGCTATTTATTTAAAATTAACTCATATTTATTTAATGTTTATTTAAACCAATAGTTAATGTCATTAATTGAGAGGTTGGGTGAAAAAAGGGTTGGATTTTATTGTTGGAAATTATTTCTCATCAATAGATTCCGCGGATATGAAGTTAGTATTAAATATTAATTTAATTATATATTGTATTTAATTATGTTTTATTATAATTATTTTATATCTTTAGATTCTTTCAATAATAGGTTTGTTATTTATTAAACTCATTGAAATGTCTAAATAGACGTTATTAATAATAACTTATTATTATACTTATCAAAACAAACTGTTCTTCAAATATAAATCTATTATAAAAATCAATCATTTTATGCATTTTTATTATTGTAATGTAATTAAAAATGTAATTTTTATTTTTGTTATATTGTACATTTATTTTAAATAGTTTGTTAAATCATTAAAAAACATTAATGTTAGTATGAATTAAAGTAATTGATAAAACAAAACTTTTAATAAATTATATATTTATTTTAAATATTCTCCAATTTGTTGTTCAATCAATTTGTGTGCATTTTTCAAACTCTGGGAATCGTTTGGTGACGATCCCCACATATCTCCCCCGTGAGCGCAGCCCTCAATCATAACGGCTTTTGTGCTTTTATTGAGATCTTTAAGGACACTGAGAGCGTGGTAGGGGTCGAGTGACCCGTTAGGGAACACAACATTTGTCACGTTTGGCTTTAAACCCCCGTATTTGGCATTTGTTCGGTCGACCCCTTTCTGTATGGTTTGGGCCGTGAATTGTGGCCCAAAAACATCGGCGCACTGTTGGATATAAAACTCGACGGGAATATTGTGCCCGAAAGGACTGTTTGGGAGATCAGTGGTTACAAACCACCCGATTTCAGTGCACGCCTGATATACCCATTGCCTTTCTATTAATGCATAAAATATAATTATTTAACTATACGTTTATTTGATTTAAATATAATTATAAATCAAACATAAGACTTTAATAGATCTAGTAATTTTAAAACAAAAGATTAGTTTTAAGACAATATTATTTGCGTTAATAATTAACTAATATTGTTTAAAACTTTACAGTATAAATGTATTAATAGATTACATACCCATTTTGTTGGCATCAATTGTTGTATTTTTCACGCTTTTAACCAAATCGTTATACTTTACATCATAACAGGGGAGAGTATGGTTAACACCGGTTAGTCGGGCATATCTGTCCAGTGGTGTACCAATAGAGGTGTCGTTCATTTCCTTACGGATCCCATCGAGATCTATGTTGTACTGAACGGAATGCGCGATACTAACCATTAAAGCCTCGGCTAACCAACGATTATCGTTGATATTCTTGCCGTCAAAAGATTGGCACAAATTCAATGTTTTGCGCAATTTTATCACACCTTCCGGTGTTTTCAAGAGATCTTCCATTTCGAGGTTGGCTTTCCTACCCATCATAATAAAATATAATATATTTTAAAACAATACAACTAATTATATTAGTATACAAACAAATACCTGATATTGTCTGAACACTCTTTTCCCAACGACTCGCCGGCGACCCCTAAATATTTCTTAAAATCTACGACAGCCTCGACGGGTGCGCTCGTGGCTATGGCACCGACTGCTATATGGGGGAACTCCATCCTAAACCAAGCAGCTAGATTGCCCGCATACGAGCCCCCGAACACAACCCATTTGCTGCCTTCAAGTGATAACTTTTTGGTCAAATACAGTGCAAACTGTTCCGTGTCTTTCAGCGCCAACTCAACGGTTAAATATTTTAAGTTTTGAGTGGACAGGTCTGGTGTGGGCACAGATTTCCCGTAATACCGGTGCTCTAACACCACTCCCAAAGCGCCGTATTTTTCAGTCATTTCTCCCATATAACTAGCATTGGTGAGCCAGAATGTACCTGCCTCACTTTCGCCACTAATTAATAGAAATACTGGACCACCTTTTTTATAATGGGAATCCTCTATAAAATAACGCTAATATACGGTACAAATTGTTATTATTTTTATACATTCTATAATTTTATTTTATATTTAATAATTTTATACCTGTTTGAAAGTCCTATTGTCCGATATATTGTTGTGATTCAATCTCTGGTCAAACCATTGATCCTCCGGTTCCCCATAGGACTCATCCCATGTGTTACGAACCGGTGGTCTAATAAAACCGTACCTATCGTTAGGTCGACCCATAAATTGTTTGACACCAAAATTGAGTTCACAATAAACACAACTTATAAATACAAAACCTATTATAAGAATATTATTATTCATTTTGTATTTTTGTTTTGAAACTTTAAATAATAAATATTAATATCACATCTATTGATATATTTGCAAAATTTCTCTTTATATACAAAATAATTAATAAATTGCAAACACATCAAGTACATTGTGTAATTAGTTTTTATTAATTAGCTCTAAAACTGTATTGATAAGTTTACAATTGAGATAATGCTACTTATCTTAAGTGCACAAGGTGCTTTATTTCAATGATATTGATGGATCATATTCTATTAGTATGATATAAATATTAAGGATAGTTTGTATTTTCACTTTTTATAAGTAAACGAGGACTTTTTGCACTAACCAATGTGTTAGATTTGAAATGATTTGAAATTTGAAATGATTTAAAAGATTAAAAGAGGTAACGTTTAAAAGTATCATGATCTCCAAATAAAGTATTATAAAGGTAAAATAGGTGAAATAGGTGAATTCTAATATAACTATCGAAGCGGGTATACATTTAAAGATAATATCGGTGAGAACAGTGCTGATAAAGTGTTCCGGGTGCTTTATTTCAATGTTTTATATAATATTGATTTAAAATACAAAGTATATATTGCAAAATAGCCGTGGTGTTTATTTTTGAGAAAGCTGCTGAAATTAAAATATAATAATGTGTTTAAAATAAAATAAATAATATGTTTGAAATAATGAATAAGTAATGATACAATGAACTAAAATAATTGTGATTGCTTTAATATTTGTGATTGCTGATTTATTATAATTTATTTAGCATTTTTTCAATATAATATATTATAATATATAAACCGTGTCCCATATATATGTCCCTACTTTATGGCATTTACATTCTACAGAATTTTGCCATTTTGCTAAGTATTTTGTCTACCTATAACTAGTAGAATTTAAAGGCAAATAATACACGTTTAATTTGGTATGTCTTAAATAATAATCGATAAACCCTAAGTTTACCAGAAACAATTTTATTGTTAAAATATTAAATTACAAATATTGTTGATTTTGTGACCTAGTCTAATTCTCGATATACTAGTTGT